ACCTGGCTCAGTCCTCAGCAGGGCAGGGCAGGAGAGGGCGGGGTCCTAGTAGTGAGACCACTGGAGTGGTGCTCTGAGGCAGGGTGGGTGTCCAGTCCCGAGCTCCCGCCCCCCATTGTGGGGCATCTGAAAGGGGCATGTGAACCTCTCTTCTCACTTGGCCTCTGAGGCTGCTTCTGCTTCAGGTCTGTTCCTTACCCATCTTTCCTCTTTGTTTTTTTGTCAAGTATTAATTTTAAAAAGAGGCCTTGGGCCCAGGAGGTGCACAGTGGGGAAGGTATTTGCCTTGCATGTACCAACTTAGATCAGTCCTGATCTCAGCTCCACTTAGGGCCCCGGAATCCTGTCTGGAGTGATCCCTGAGCACTGAGCTGAGAGTAAGCCATGAGCGTTCTGGCTGTGGGCCCATCCCACCCCCAATACAACAACAACAAAATAGTCGCTCCAGAGCTCAGTTCTTTAGCTCACTCTCCTGTCCATGGCTTGCCCAGGCCAACGCCCTGCTCTCGGTCTTTGCATTTTTGTGATATGCAGGTCCTGTAGCCGAGGCCCCCAGCTTTCACTCAGGAACCTGGACACACCTGCCCGCAGCCTGTTTGGGCCTGCAGTGAGTCTAGGAGGAGACAATGTCACCCTGTGTGAGATCATTACCGCCATCGGCCAGTGCAGATGAGAAATGGGTGCAGAGGGGTCTCTGCGATGGTTCCTATGACGGAAGTGGTTAGGCCAGCACTGCCGTGGCATCTGGCAACCGAGGGTCCTGCTTGAGCACTGTGTGGGGCGTTGCCGAGTCTGCCAGGCACTGGGCTCGGTGCCGGTGCTTGGTTGAGCCCCATTACAGAGTTCTTCTAATCCCCCGAGCAGAGGGTGTTGTCAGCCCCCAGGAAAGTCCACGCATACCCATGGATACCCAGCCAGTGAGGGCCAACCTGGACCCCTGAGAGTGCAGAGCCCTGGGCTCAAAAGAGATGTTCCTTCCGGGGAGAGAAAAAAGGAATGATGAGTCTATGAGGGCTTAGGGGACTAGTGGCGGGGGCAGGCAGGGGAGGGAGAGCAAGAGGCTGTCTCAGGTGGGGTAAGCAGAAAGGAGTGGAGACTGGAAGAGGTGCCAAAGACTGGCTTCGGGGTGGCATCACGAGAAGAGAGGCTTCTGTGGGGCATACGCTCTGGAGCTGGACTGCAGAGCACCCTGTGTGAGCAGCCCTGAGTGAAGCCACACTTCTGGCCTGAGAGGGAAGTGGGGCTCCTGGGAACAGAGGAGATAAAGGGGAGGGGGGCCCGAGGGCCGGGGTGGAGACTGTGAGTATGCAGGCATGTGCGCATGCGTGTGTCTGTGTGCGTGCATGTGTGCATGCCTGCCTGCATGTATGTTGGTATGCATGCCTGTGTGCATTTGTTTGTGTCTGCATGCATGTGTGCATGTCTGCCTGTGTGCACGTATGGGTATACCTATGCATGTGATTGTGTACTGGTGTGCATGTGTGCATATATACATCTGTGCATGCATGCTTGTGTGTACACTTGTGTCTATGCATCTGGAGTGTGTCTAGAGCCTGGGAGACAGTTCTCCTGAAAAAGAGTCCTTTTCTCGTGTGTGTGTGTGTGTGTGTGTGTGTGTGTGTGTGTGTGTGAACTCAGCAGTGCTCAGAGGTTGATCCTGGCTCTGCACTCAGGAAGTACTCCTTGTGGTGCTCAGGGGACCATATGGGGTTCTGGGAATCAAATTCAGGTCAGCTGCATGCAAGGCAAATGCCCTACCCGCTGTACTGTCACTCTGGCCCTAGTCCATCTTTTTCTAAGAGTGTAAGAACAAAGGGAAGGTGGATGGGCTGATTGTAAAGTGGGGTCTGACCTTGGTCTGTGGTGCTCCCCTATTGTGTTGGGACTGTATTTGTTTCAAGGGCCCCCAGAAGAAATCATCACCCAATGCTGGGGGTAAACATGCCCTGCCCCTGAGATCTGAAGCAGGAATGGTTCCTTCGGGTGTTCAGAGGCAGAATCTGCACCCGTCTCTTTCCCTGGCAGGCCTTGACCTTGCCTTGACACTTGATGCATCAGTCCCAGTCCTCAAGGGGAATCTGTGTGTGTGTGTGTGCGCACGCACATGCATGCCCAAACTTCCTTTAGTCTAAGAACACCACTCATTGGATGAGGGTCCACCCTAATCCAGCATGACCTCATTTGAACTTGATCACATCTTTTTTTTGGGGGGGCTTTTTTGGGGTCACAATCAGTGATGCTCAGGAGTTACTCCTGGCTCTGCACTCAGGACTCTGAACTCAGGATCCTGGCAGGGCTAGGGGGGACTATATGGGATGCCAGGGATTGAACACAGATCTGTCTTGTACTAGGCAAATGCCCTACCTGTTGTACTATTGCTCTGGCCCATAACTTCATCACATCTGCAAAGACTATCTCCTAATGAGGTCACATGTACAGGATTTAGGACTTGAACATTATTTTGTTGGGCAGTCAGGGGGCACAATTCAACCCGGAATAGGGCACAGAGGAGACTGGAGGAGGTGCTCTCTAAAATGCTGCAGAAATACAAGTGCAGGGTCTGGAGCCATACATAGCACAGCAGGGAGGGTCCTCGCCTTGCATGTGGCTCACCCGGGTTCAATCCCTGGCACCCTAGATGATCCCTCGAGCCCAGTCAGGAGTGATTCCTGAGGACAGAGCCAGCAGAAACCACTGACATTGCTGTGTGTGGCCCAGAAAACAAACAAACACAAGGGCAGACCAAGGTCCCTGGCTAAAAGAATCTTAAAGACCAATCAAATAGATTATCTCCCCAGATTTTCCAAAGCTGTCCCCATCCCTGCATTTTCACCCGCATGAACGAACAGTCTGCCTGCTTGCCAAAGACGAACATGCTCCCCAGGGTCCTCTGAGGGTGACCAAAAGACAGGCCCCTCCTGCTTCTGGTATCAGGCACACTTGAATTCGGGCTCACAGGGGGATGAAACCATAAGCCTCATCAGCCTGCAGTGCCTTCCACTTCCTCCTCGCATCCCCGAAAGTTGCAGTTACTCCTGCGGCAACCGAGGTCCTGTTTGGGCGAGCCAAGGGAGAACTGCAGTTTTAGGCTCAGAAGTTGCTGTTGGAAAGTGATGATCAGGCTGATCAGGCAGGAGCCAGTCTCGAACCCTGGCATGGTGGGACTCATGCTTCTTGCCCCTGGTGTCCTGCTCAGTCACAGAAGCACAGACTAACTGAGAAGAGACTTACTTTGGGGACATCGGGGTGGGGGTGGGGGTTAGGCCACATCCTATGTGTGAGTGGCACTGCTCAGGGCTCATCCTGGGCTCAGGAATCACTCCTGGTGGTTCTTGGAGGACCACATGGTGGTGCCAGGGATGGAACCTGGGTTGGCTGCTCCTCAGGCAGATGTCCCACCCGCTGTCACTAGCTCCAGCTGTGTAGACTCCTTAACAGATGCCTGTTTTCCATGTTAGGATCTCTTTTGGGTCTGAGGCCTTCATGAGTTTTATCAAAGGCTGAACCTGCATCCCAGAGAAGTATACACGCACCCATAAGGGAGTGCAGATGGATTCACCGGCATCCACCTGGGAGCTTTTCCCCAAACCCAAGGTTAATAAACCCCGAGGTGTCATCGGGTCTGCACTCCAGGTTCCCGTGAAAGCCCAGGTCAGCTAGGGTAATTGATTGGCTCCCAAGTTGTGCAGTTATTTAAAGTGGAATGAAAAAATCACATCCCAAGTGCAGATGGTGTTGATACTCTTGCTCCAAGCAAGATTTACAGGGTTTGTTTCCCTCAAATAAAATCAACTCCCCTGCTCAAGAAGCAGAACCTTGAAGAAAACTTTCTCTTGGTGGCGGGAGGGGCAGAGGACACGGGTGTCTACTGGGTGAAAGAGTTCTGGGTGCGTGTGGTGTCCCCCAGAGTTTACAAATGAGGTTCGATATTTGCCAGGCATCTGTGACATGCCCTCCCACCCCCACCCCTGCACGGCGGAGGGGGTTCCTTGCTCCTTTTCTTGGCCATACTCAGTGATGCTCAGGATCACTTCTGACAGGCTAAGGCGACCACGTGGGGTGCAGGGGACTGATGTGGGGTTGGTGGCATGCGAGGTCAGCACCGAGCCGCAGCGCCATCTCTTCAGTCCTGGGACTCCTGTAGGCTTCATCCAAGCAGGCTGAGCTGTGATCACTCGGGGCTTTAGCAGTGGCCAAAGTGCTCAAAGGAGGCCTTCATGAGGACATCCTAGGTCGGAGGCTAGGTCGGACCCGGGGGTCCCAGGGAGTGGCAGGGGACAGCGCTCTCTTCCTCCTCCAGGAGCCCCCCACCAACTGTCAACCCCCTCCAGGCTCAGGGACTAACCCAAGCTGGGGCAGGGAGACGACATGGGGGGCATTCGAGGACAACTCCGGGCCAGGGCCTCTTGAACTCCAGTTCCGAAGGTCGTCCCAGTCTTGGGGTGTCCGCGCTGAGGGGCCTCCTCTGCTTCCTCTGCAGGCATTGTTTAAGGAGTTCTCATAATCAGGAGCCTCGGAAGGAGGCGGGTGGGGCGGGGAAGGGTTTTCTTGGCGGGGAGGTGTCTCCAATTGCTTGGGGCTGGCTGAGTGCCCAGTGCCGGAACCCGATGCTGGCTGCTACCCTGGGGGGCGGTGGGGGGGGGTGTCCCCAACTCCAAGGAGGGCTGAGCTTGCGAGACCGGGGAGGGGGTGTGGGGACCCTTCCCGGGGTGGGGTGGGGTGGGGTGGGGGCGCGCCTTCCCCTCCTCCTCCTCTCCTTCCCTCCTCCTCCTCCTCCTCCTCCTCCCCATTCCTCCCCCTTCCCTCCTCCCCTCCCTCCTCCTCCTCCTCCTCCTCCTCCTCCTCCTCCTCCTCCCGCCAACATGGCTGCGCTGGGCGGCCGCTGAGCCCGGGCCGCGCCGCCAGGCCCCGCGCGTGGCCCCGCGCTGACCGGGCCGGGCCGGGCCGCGCCGGGCCGCGCCGCGCCGCGCCGCGCCGGGCCGGGCCGGGCCGGGCGGGCCATGGAGCCGCCGCCGCGGCGGCGCGCGCTGCTGGCGCAGTGTCAGCGCGGCCTGGCGCAGGCCATGACGGAGGTGGACGCGGTGCTGGGGCTGCTGGAGGCCGCGGGCGCGCTGAGCGCCGGCGAGCGGCGGCGGCTGGACGCGGAGGCGGGCGGCGCCAAGGCGGAGCTGCTGCTGCAGCTGCTGCTGGCCAAGGAGCGCGACCCGCTGCCCGAGCTGCGCGCGGCGCTGGAGCAGGCGCAGCCCCACCTGCTGCCGCTGCTGCCCCTGCACGGCGCGGCCGAGCCGCCCGCGGGCGCGGGTGAGTGGGGCCCGGACGCGGGTGCGGGCGGGGGGCCCGCGGGGCCGGGCCCGGGCGGCGGGGGCACCCGCGGGCACCGCGGCCCGGAGCGCCGGGGCGGACGCGCGGACGGACGGACGGACGGGCGGACGGACGGACGGCTGGGACCCGCGGGCAGCCTGGGCAGATCCCGGCGGGCGGGGGGCGCCGGGGCCAGCGGGAGCTGCGGGGGTGGGGGGGAGAGGAGTGTCCGGGCACCTGCCTTTGTGGCTGCGCTGTTGCTTTCCTGCTCAACTGTGGCCGCCGGTGAGCTGGACCACCCCCCCACCCGCTTGCCCGGGGCCAGCCCCCTCGCCGCCGGCCCGCAGGGCCCGCAGTGGCCACCATGCCCCCCACCACCCCCCACCCGCGCCGGGAGTTTGCAATTGGGACCTATTGTTCGGCTGCACCTCTCGGCACCAGGTGCCACCTCTCCTCAACTTCGAGGCTCCATTTTGCGGGTGGACTGCCTGCAGGCAGAGAAACTGCCCCTGGCCACTCTCGTGGGCCTCGGCGGCTGATGAGACCTGTTTATTTGGCTGTTAAAAGCCTCACTTGTTAAGGGCGTGATTTTATTTCAGCGGTTTCTCGTAGCCGCCTTGATGGTCGCTGGTCCTACTGCAACCTCACTTTTCACAGGGCGGAAACTGACAGACCAAACTACTGGCCACACACGTGGTGCCACTGGTGGCCACCCTCCTGTGGGCTTCCTCCTCCATGTTGTCGGGACCCCCAGAGCCAACCTCTGTGCCCCCCAGTAGTGGTCTGAGTTGCTGGGCGAAGGTTTTGGAAGATGCCACGAAATGCCGTGAGGTTAGGGACAGAGGGGAAGCCCCCAGGGGCAACATCTTTCTTTTCTTTTTCAGCTTCTGAGCCATCCTGGCAGTGGGCGCTCTGGGTTTATTCCTGGCTCTGCATTCAGCTTGGGGTCGAACCTGGGTCCCCGCGGGCAAGGCTAGCTGCTGTACGGTGTCTTTCCAGCTCTGACGTTTTTTCTTTTTAATTGCTTTCATGGATTGATTTTTGAAGGAGGAAGTTTGTCAAGGAAACTCAGAAGTTAGAATGCAGATTCAGTTCTCACTGGGGTTGGACATGTTTGAATCAGTGCTAGGTTTCATGTCCAGAGTAGAAGAATCTGTCGCCATTAGTTAGGGACCCCTATCCCGTCTACTCCATCCCTGCTAGAGAAGGTTGGGCCTCCTTTGGCCAAGGTTCTAGGAGCTGGTCCTGAGCTCGGAGAAAGAGATGGAATAGGGTTTGCATTTTATCTCTAGAGCAGTGATTTCACTCCCTAATTTCATGACAGTGGGGAATACTTAGCTTTGTGGAGGCTTGTGAAATCCTCAGGAAAATAATTTTCAAAGGGAAGTTCATTTTGTGTTTTCCTTTTTGGGCTACACTCTGCATTGCTCAGGGCTTACTCCTGGCTGTGTGCTCAGGAGTCACTCCTGGGAGTGCTCAGGGGATTCTCTGTGGTGCCGGGATGGGAGCAGGGTGAGCTGGTGCCAGGCACTCACACGCCTTACCTGATGGACTGTTGTGCCAGCACAGGGAAGTTCATTTTCTTTTTTACTTTTTGGGTCACACCCGGCGATGCTCAGGGGTTACTCCTGGCTCATGCACTTAGGAATTACTCCTGGTGGCGCTCGGGGGGACATATGGGATGCTGGGAATCGAACCCGGGTTGGCTGCGTGCAAGGCAAGCGCCCTACCCGCTGTGCTATTGCTCCAGCCCCAAAGTTTATTTTCTTTTAGAAAAAAAAAATAGGAGCGTGTTGGTGGTAAGTGGAGCCTGTGGGTGAGCGCTGCTGCCGAGGAAGGGATGTTCGCATGGACCAGCAGCCACAGGGCTCTCGCAGCCTGTGCCTGTCCCTTGGCCAGAGAGCCCAGAGAGAGAGCCGAGCTGGTGGCTCTCTGGGTGAAGAGTGCGGCTGGTCCCAGAGGGTGGTCAAGGCACCCTCTCTGTGCTCAGCCTCCCCGCCCTGCCCCTCCAGCCTTGTGCTTCCATCCTGGGCAGACCCAGGCCTCTGTCTGCCTGTGGCTGAGCACTAGTGTATGATGCTGGGGGAACCAGAGCGTCAGGGGGACCCCAGCGTGTCCCTCTATTCAGAGCATCCCTGTCCACCATACCGTCCCTGCAAATGAAGCAGAAAAGGGGGCACTTGCCGTTCACACCTTGGTTCACTCCCTGGCCCTGCGTTTGGCACCCCATACCCTCCACCAGGGGTGATTCCTGAGCACTGCTGGGTGTGGCCCCCAGCAAGGCCCCAAACCAACCAGGTGAAATGCCTGTTGCCGGCTGGCCCGGCCCGCTGTGCTGTGGAGAGGACGCTGGCTTCCGAGGGGCCAGGCAGGCGTGCAGCCCAGACCTGTGGGTTCTGCTCACCCTTAGGCCGACAGCACTGGATTCATCTGTGTATCGGGGCGTCTGTTCCCAGGCTGAGGGTGGGGGGCGTGCCTTGTCCTTCCCAGGCTCGCTTTGCAGCGGCCCAGCAGGGCGTGCAGGATTGGTGGGCACCCACTGCTCTCACTCAGCCGAATCCCTGCCCCCTTCGTGCGGTCAGAGCCCGGGCCCAGCCTTGTGGGGCTGAAGCCTGGGCCCTGTGCTGTCACAGGCGGCTTTCTCCGCTTCCGCCAGCCTTGCTCTCCCAGGGGCTCTAATTCTGTTGCTTCCCTGGATTTTTTTTTTCCCTCTCTCTCTCTGTCTCTGTCTCTGTCTCTGTCTCTGTCTCTCCCTCTTTCTCCCCTCTCCTCCTCTCTCTGGGGTTTGGCCTCACCCGGCAGTGCTCAGGACTTACTCCTGACTCTGTGCTCAGGGATCATTGCTGGCGAGGCTCAGGGGACCTTATGGGGTGCAAAGTCAGCACCTTCCCCTGCCCTGTCTCTCCTGGGTGCTGTGAGATGGCCTCTTGGTCCATCCTGTGGATGGGCAGGACCGTCCTCTCTAGTCCCTGGAGCTGTACCCAGACCAGCTCAGGGCTCTCTTGTGGCTCACTCACACCCTTGCCGGCCTTCCCTTTCGCTTGCAGTCAGCCCTTGCTGAGGGGAGGTTTTCTCATGCCCCCCACTGGCCCGCCTGTTCCTGGGGTAAAGGCCCTTCTTGGTTATGTGCCTCATTGTCTTCATCTGTGAGATGGGGCTGCAGGGGTTCTGCGTGTGCCTCTGGCCCCGGGAGCACAGAATCCAATTGAGGGAGGCCCCGAGGACCTGCTCTGTGCTCGGCCCAGGAGGGCAGCAGAGACAGGGCGTCTGGGATGTAATTTCAGCCTGCAGTTCACTACCTGGTTGGGACAGTGACATTATGAAGCTGATCAGCCGAATGATACAGATGCCAGCTGGCTTCTCTCTTTTTATTTAACTTTTTTTCTTTTTCTTTTTTTTTTTTGGCACAGGGGTGGGGGTGGGGGATTGGGTAACACCTGGCAATACTAAGGGGATACCTCTGCACTCCTGGCAGGGATAGTGGGACCATTTGGCTGTTTTTTTTGGTTGCATGCAAGGCAAGTGTCTTACCCACTGTACTATCTCTCCACCCTCTTGGGGGACTATATGAGATGCTGGTTATTGAACCCAGGTCGATGGTGTGCAAGGCAAATGCCCTACCCATTGTACTATTGCTCTGGTCCTTTTATTTAACTTTAAAAAATGGGGGCCGCTCCTGGCTGTGCTCAGGGGTTAACCTGGCAGTGCTTGGGAGAGACCGTGCAGTGCTGGTTATCCAACTGGGGCATTTTTGTCTTCCTGTTTGTTCTGATCCCAAGTTCCCTTGGTTGTTGGTCATGGCACTTGCGGTGCCCAGCCTCTGGGGCTGTGTAGGCAGATTGCTCTACCTCTGGGCCAACCCAACCCCTCTTTTTTCTATTTTCATTTTTTGTTGTTTTGTTTTTGTTGGCGGGGGGCCACATTTGCTCAGGACTTGCTCCTGGCTCTTTGTTTGGGGATCTTTCTTTGTGGGGTTCTCGGAACCAATTGCAGTGCCAGGGGTTGAACCCAGGCCAGCTATATGCCAGGCAAGTGCCCTGCCCACTGTACTATCTCTTCCAGTCCCTCCATGCCATCCCCTGAGTTTCCCAACAATCTGGCTGACTCAGTTTCCCTGGCCAAGAAAAAGACAGTGGTGTTAGTTTGAGAAGCTGAGGAAGGCTTCCTGGAGGAGGTGGGCATTCCAGGCAGAGGCGGAGGCTGTGGAGGTACAGACCAGCCCGAGCAGAGTGGGGCTTAGCAGGGCCTCTGGGTGCATGAGGGCGCATTGGGGATTTGGAGTTTGGGTGACGCTGGAAATGTAGGGATTAAACCAGACAAGAGTGCCATGGGTGGCCATTTTTTTGTTTATCTTTTCGCTAGTTGGCCATACCTGGCGATGCTCAGGGGTCACTCCTGGCATTGCACTTAGGAATCACCCCTGGCTGTGCCCAGGAGACCATATGGGATGCCGAGGACTGAACCGTGGTCAGCCGCGTGCAAGGCAAAGGCAAAATATCATTGCTTTGGCCCTTGTCTTTGCTTTTTGGGCCACACCAGGTAGTGCTCAGAGGTTACTCCTGGCCCTGCACTCTGGGATCACCCCTGGTGGATGCCAGGGATTGAATCCAGGTCGGCTGCATGCAGCTCAGGCACCCTACCTGTTGTCCTATTGCTTGGGCCTACATTTAACCATTTTAAATTTAGGAGTAACCCTGCTGGACTTTCCCAGGCTGCTGGTTGTTAGATGTTTCTCCGTCAACCCTGTGTGTCTGAGTGACAGGCGGGACAGAGGGAAAACTCCCGCCACTGCAGTTCTTCCTTTGGGTCTTTCCTTTTCCCTTTTCCTTATGGTCTTTGGGCCATACTTTAAGGGTGCTGGGGGCTACTCGGGACTCTTCTCTGGGTTTACTCCTGGCCTTCAGAGTACCATGCAGTGCTGGGAATTAAACCAGTGTTGGCCGCGTGCCAGGCAAGCGGGTAGTCTTTCTAGAGTGTCGTTTGTGAGGACCCTGGAGAGG